ACTGGAGGTGCGGGGGAAGGGCAACAGATGGAGGCAGTCGCACTCCAACAACGAGCGGAGCGCCGGGCGGCTGAAATGCAGCGAGTTGGCACAGTAGAGGGGGCACGGGTGGTGCATCTGGCAGTAGTCATCTCAGTGAGTCGACCCGCGGCACCTGCTGGTTCTGTCCCCGTGACCTCCTGGTGCACCTAGCCTGGCACAGTAGGGGGGTACAGGTGGTGCATCTGGCAGTAGTCATCTCAGTTAGTCGACCCGTGGCACCTGCTGGGTCTGTCCCCGTGACCTCCTGCACCTAGCCTGGCACAGTAGGGGGGCACAGGTGGTGCATCTGCCAGGTAGTCATCTCAGTGAGTCGACCCGTGGCACCTGCTGGGTCTGCCCCCGTGACCTCCTGGTGCACCTAGCCTGGCACAGTAGGGGGGCACAGGTGGTGCATCTGGCAGTAGTCATCTCAGTTAGTCGACCCGTGGCACCTGCTGGGTCTGTCCCCGTGACCTCCTGCACCTAGCCTGGCACAGTAGGGGGCACAGGTGGTGCATCTGGCAGGTAGTCATCTCAGTCAGTCGACCCGTGGCACCTGCTGGGTCTGTCCCCGTGACCTCCTGGTGCACCTAGCCTGGCACAGTAGGGGGGCACAGGTGGTGCATCTGGCAGGTAGTCATCTCATTCAGTCGACCCGTGGCACCTGCTGGGTCTGTCCCCGTGACCTGTTAGCAGCGAGTCTCCGACACTTCACGTGACGACATCGAAGTGCACCTAGCCTGGCACAGGCGCCGTGGTGCAGTTTCCGTCACTTCGTGGTGAATGGCAGTTGTTGTGTGTGTAGGTGTGTGTGTGTCTGTGTGTGTGTGTGTCTGTGTGTGTACGTGTGTGTGTGCATGCGTGTGTGTGTCTGTGTGTGTGTCTGTGTGTGTGTGTCTGTGTGTGTGTGTAAGTGTCTGTGTGTGTAAGTGTATGTGTGTGTGTGTAAGTGTGTGTGTGTTGTGGGGAGCGGTAGTGTAGCGGTTAGCGCGCTGCGCTATGAACCTGGCGACCCGGGTTCGATTCCCGCTCACGGCCAACACCAGTGACGATTATCTGAACCGGTCCCAGGCCTCCCCTAGGTCGACTCAGCCTCAAATGAGAACCTGGTGCGGTGTGTAAACATTGCCACTAGGGAGACAAAGGCGGTCGGGCGTGGTGCTGGCCACCCACCCCCTCGTGTACCGTTCCGGCCTTCATAGGTGCTCGCTAACAGCACTTGCCCCTACAGTCTGTTAAGGCTATATGGGGGATCTTTTTGTGTGTGTGTGTGTGTGTCAGTGTATGTGTGTAAGTGCGTGTGTCTGTGTGTGTGTCTAGTGTGTGTGTCTGTGTGTCTGTGTGTCTGTGTGTGTGTCTGTGTGTGTGTGTCTGTGTGTGTGTGTGTCTGTGTGTGAGGTGCCATCTGCTGAGGAAGTATTGAAGGCGATCCGGAGTCTGAGACCAGGAAAGGTTGCGGGCAGAGATGATCTCCCAAGCGAAATGCTGAGGGAGGGTGGCGTTTGTGCACAGACTGCCCTATATGACATCATAACCACAGTCTGGAGCACTGGACGGGTTCCGCAGGATTGGAAGGATGCCCTGGTGGTCCCCCTTTTTAAGAAGGGGGACCGCACAGACTGTAACAACTACAGGGGCATCTCACTCCTCAGTGTGCCGGGAAAGGTCCTGGCAAGGATTATTCAGCATCACCTTGCCAGGCACGCTGAGGAGAGGCTTGCGGAGCCCCAATGCGGTTTCAGGAAAGGGCGGTCCTGCACAGATGCCATATTTTCTGTCCGTCTGCTGCAGCAGAGGTGTAGGGAATTCCAACAAGACCTACATCTCTGCTTTATTGACCTGGTCAAGGCCTATGATACCATCAGTAGGCCTGGGCTCTGGGTCGTTCTTCGTGCTTTTGGAGTCCCTGACCCTCTGCTCACGATCATTAAGGACCTTCATGATGGTGAGCGGGCCCGCGTAAAACTACGTGGCCGGGAGTCAGAGCCATTCCCTGTACACCTTGGGGTGCGACAGGGATGTCCTCTGGCTCCCACATTATTTAACATCTATTTTGACCACGTAGTTCGTGAAGCCTTCAATAGCTGTACCGGGGGAATCTCCATATGGTACAGATTTAATGGGAGGCTAATCGATGCCCGGGTGCGGTCAAGGGATGGCTCCCTATTGCTCAACCACGTTATGTATGCTGATGATTTGGTAATAGCTGCTCAGTCAGAGGAGGAGTTGGAGACGCTGCTGCTGAGACTGGAGCGTGCCACTAAGAGGTGGGGCCTTACCATCAGCCCCACCAAAACTAAGCACCTGCCTGGGTATTTTGTACCATCGGACACTCCACCCCCACAACTCCCAATCGGTGATGGGCAGTTGTGGAGAGAGTGGAGAGTTTCCCATACCTGGGCAGTGTGCTTATGACTGGCTCCAGTTTAACAGCAGAGGTCTCACTCCGAATCAGTCGAGCGGCAATATCTTTTCATCGGTTGTGTAACGCTGTGTGGAAGCTACCTGGTCTGTCGCTCCGCACTAAGCTTCAGGTCTTCTCGGCCACGGTCATTCCCTCCCTTCTCTACGCTTGCGAAACGTGGACCCCCCTAATGGAACATCTTCGCCGGTTAGAAACATTTAGGCTGGCCTGCCTACGATCCATCCTGGGTTTAACCAGACTGGATTGTGTGAGGAGCTCACAAATCCTTGAAAGATCTGGGCAGGGTCCCATCGGTGAGCTCCTCCGGCAGGCAAGGCTGCGATGGCTGGGTCATGTAGCCCGCATGCCCAGCCACCGCATGCCGAAACAGCTTTTGTTTGGCCGGATTGAGGGGGCTAAGCGGGCGCGGCACGGGCTAGAGAAGAGATGGAGTGATGTGGTACAGGAGGACGTGGAGCTGAGTGGACTTGTCGATGACTGGTACCAGCGGTGTCAAGATCGGCCTCTGTGGAGGAGGCTCGTGAAGGATGCTACTGGGCAGTTGGAGGCAGTCGCCCTCCAACAACAATGGAGGGCGGAGGAGCGATGCTCAGAACAACGAGCGGAGCGCCGGGTGGCTAAAGCACAGCAGGTTGGCACAGTAGGGGGCACAGGTGGTGCATCAGCCAGTAATCTCAGTCAGTTGACCCGTGGCACCTGGGTCTGCCCCGTGACCTCCTGCCAGCGGGCGTTCGACACTTCACGTGGCCTCAGGGTGCACATAGCCTGGCACAAGCGTCGTGGTGACGTCACCGCCACTTAGTGGCGAATGGCGGTTGTTGTTGTGTGTGTCTGTGTGTCTGTGTGTGTCTGTGTGTGTGTGTGTGTCTGTGTGTGTGTAAGTGTGTGTGTGTGTAAGTGTATGTGTGTGTAAGTGTATGTGTGTGTGTGTAAGTGTATGTGTGTGTAAGTGTATGTGTGTGTATGTGTGTATGTGTGTGTAAGTGTATGTGTGTGTCTGTAAGTGTATGTGTGTGTGTGTCTGTGTGTGTGTGTAAGTGTATGTGTGTGTAAGTGTATGTGTGTGTGTGTAAGTGTAAGTGTGTGTGTGTGTAAGTGTGTGTGTGTAAGTGTGTGTGTGTAAGTGTATGTGTGTGTATGTGTGTGTGTGTGTAAGTGTATGTGTGTGTGTGTAAGTGTATGTGTGTGTGTGTAAGTGTCTGTGTGTGTATGAGTGTGTGTGTAAGTGTATGTGTGTGTGTATGTGTGTGTGTGTAAGTGTATGTGCGTGTGTGCAAGTGTGTGTGTGTGTAAGTGTATGTGTGTGTAAGTGTGTGTGTGTGTAAGTGTGTGGGTGTAAGTGTATGTGTATGTGTGTGTGTGTAAGTATAGGTGTGTGTGTAAGTGTGTGTGTGTGTAAGTGTATGTGTGTGTGTAAGTGTGTGCGTGTAAGTGTATGTGTGTGTGTGTAAGTGTATGTGTGTGTGTCTAGTGTGTGTGTCTGTGTGTCTGTGTGTGTCTGTGTGTGTGTGTGTCTGTGTGTGTATGTGTGTAAGTGTGTGTAAGTGTGTGTGTGTGGGCAGGGACAGCGCAGCGGTTAGCGCCACGCTGTCCTACGAACCCCAGGGCCCTGAGTTCGATTCCCGCTCACGGCCAACACCAGTGAGGAATACCTGAATCGGTCCTGGGCCTCCCCTAAGTCGACTCAGCCTCAAATGAGTAGCTGGTGCAAGTGAGCGGGTGAGCGAGTGAGTGGGTGAGCGGGTGAGCAGGTGAGCGGGTGAGTGAGCGAGCAGGTGAGCGAGTGAGCGAATGAGTGAGTAGTGCAGTGGACGGCTAAGCGGGTGAGCGAGTGAGTGAGTGAGCAAGCGGGTGAGTGAGCGGGTGAGTGAGCGGGTGAGTGAGTGGGTGAGCGGGTGAGTTAGTGAGTGAGCGAGCGGGTGAGTGGGTGAGCGAGTGAGCGGGTGAGCGAGTGAGCGGGTGAGCGAGTGAGCGGGTGAGCGGGTGAGCGGGTGAGCGAGTGAGTGGGTGAGCGAGTGAGCGGGTGAGCGAGTGAGCGGGTGAGCGAGTGAGTGGGTGAGCGGGTGAGCGAGTGAGTGAGTGAGTGAGCGAGCAGGTGAGCGGGTGAGCGAATGAGTGAGTAGTGCAGTGGACGGCTGAGCGGGTGAGCGGGTCAGTGAGCGAGCGAGCGGGTCAGTGAGTGAGTGAGTGAGCGGGTGAGCGGGTGAGTGAGCGAGCGAGTGGGTCAGTGAGTGAGTGAGTGAGCGGGTGAGCGGGTCAGTGAGTGAGTGAGTAAGCGGGTGAGCGAGTGAGTGAGCGAGTGAGCGGGTGAGCGGGTGAGTGAGCGAGTGAGTGAGTGAGCGGGTGAGTGAGTGAGTAAGCGAGTGAGTGAGTGAGCGAGCGAGTGAGTGAGTGAGTGAGCGAGTGAGTGAGTCAACGAGTGAGTGAGTGAGTGAGCGGGTGAGCGGGTCAGTGAGTGAGTAAGCGGGTGAGTGAGTGAGCGGGTGAGTGAGTGAGTGAGTAAGCGAGTGAGTGAGTGAGCGAGTGAGTGAGCGGGTGAGTGAGTGACGCTCACCCACGACCATCTGCCCGGTCACCTGGCCCTGCTGGTCACGTGAGTTGATCGTCACGTTTCTGGCCGACTGCACCAGCAGGGCGCTGTCCTGTGGCGCACACCAAGACAAAGACAAAGATCCCCTATGTAGCCTCAACAGACTGTAGGGGCAAGTGCTGTTAGCGAGCACCTGTGAAGGCCAGCACGGCACAGGCACGGGGTGGGTGGCCAGCACCACGCCCGGGCCGCCTTTGTCTCCCCAGTGGCGATGTTTACTGCACACTGCACCAGGTACTCATTTGAAGCTGAGTCGACCTCGGGGAGGCCCAGGACCGGTTCAGATAATCGTCACCGGTGTTGGCCGTGAGCGGGAATCGAACCCGGGTCGCCAGGTTCATAGCGCAGCGTAGCGCTAACCACTACACCACCGCTCCCCACACACACAGACAGACACACACACAGACACACACACACACAGACACACACACAGACACACACACACAGACACACAGACACACACACAGACACACACACACACACACTCTGACACACACACAGACACACAGACACACACACTGACACAGACACACACACAGACACACACAGACACACACACAGACACACACACACAGACACACACACAGACACACACACAGACACACACACAGACACACACACACACACTCTGACACACACACAGACACACACACAGACACACACACACAGACACACACACACACAGACACACACACAGACACACACACACACACACTCTGACACACACACAGACACACAGACACACACACACAGACAGACACACAGACAGACACACAGACACACACACAGACACACACACAGACACACACACAGACACACAGACACACACAGACAGACACACAGACACACACACAGACACACACAGACAGACACGCACACACACACAGACACACACACAGACACACACACACACACACTCTGACACACACACAGACACACAGACACACACACACAGACAGACACACAGACAGACGCACAGACACACACACACAGACACACAGACACACACGCACGCACACAGACACACACACAGACACACACGCACAGACACACACAGACACACACTGACACACAGACACCAACACTAACACGCAGACACACACACTGACACACAGACACACACAGACACACACACAGACACATACACAGACACACACACACACAGACACACAGACACACAGACAGACACACAGACACACACAGACACACACACTGACACACAGACACAACAACAACAACCGCCATTCGCCACTAAGTAGCGGTGACGTCACCACGACGCTTGTGCCATGCCATGTGCACCTTGAGGCCACGTGAAGTGTCGAACGCCGGCTGGCAGGAGGTCACACACACTGACACACAGACACACACACAGACACACACAGACACACACAGACACACACGCACACACACAGACACACACAGAGACACACACACGTACACACACACGTACACGGTGGTGAGATGTTAACTGCCTCACCTGGTTTACAGGAGGCCACGGGTTCGTTCCCGACCCTGACACCTGCTGTATATTTGGAGACCCATAGACTCAGATAAAGACCCACAGACTCACACATAGACCCGTAGACTCATACAGAGAAACCCACAGACTTGCACAAAGACCCATAGACGAGCACAGAGACCATAGACTCACACGGAGACCCATAGACTCACAGAGGGACCCATAGACTCACACAGAAACCCATAGACTCACACAGAGACCCATAGACTCACACAGGGACCCATAGACTCACACAGAGACCCATAGACTCACACAGAGACCCATAGACTCACACGGACCAAGTTGTGATGATGGCCTCAGCCTGCTCAACCGCTGACCGGCGGTGACCGCGTCGATGTTGGCAGTGGTCGTGATGTTACCCACCGACCGACCGACTGATTAACCGACCGACCGACCGATTAACCGACCGACCGATTAACTGATCGACCGACCGACTGATTAACCGACCGACCGATCGACCGACCGACCGACTGATTGACCGACGGAATGACCGATAGACCGACAGACCAATTGACCGATTAACCGACCAATCGACCGACAGACCAATCGACCGTCCGATCGACTGACCGACGAGAGGGGGTTTCCTCCCGCCGATCGGAGCTGTCCCCCACGGCCACGGGAACGCGGCAACGTACCAGGCGTGATCGGATCTCCTTGGCGTACAGCGGGTGCAGGAACTCCGACTCGCCCTCCAGACGCAGGCCCTTGTCCGTGATGCGCAGATGCCCCATGCCATCCTGAGCAGCATCATCAAGCAGCAGAAGCAGCAGCAGCAGCAGCATTAGCAGTAGCATAATAATCGGTGACATCAGCATCGGCAATATCGGTAACATCATCATCACCATCTCTGTCTAGGTGCTCCATGCTGTCTGGATCACCAGCAACGTCGTCATCGTCATCAGCGGACACGTGAGCGGGTGAGTGACAGAGCCGGTGATTCTGTGAGCGAGCGATTCAGAGAGTGAGTGAGCGATATGGCGAGCGAGCGAGTGATCCGGTGGGTGAGCGAGGGTGCAAGTGATTTGGCCAGTGACCGAGCGAGTGATTCGGTGATCTGGTGAGCGGGCAAGCGATTTAGTGAGCGAGCGAGGGATCTGGTGAGCGAGCGAGGGGCCTGGTGAGTGAGCGAGCGATTTGGTGAGCGAGTGAGGGACCTGGTGAGCGAGCGAACGATTTGTTGAGCGAGCGAAGGACCGGGTGATGCGAGCGAGGGATCTGGTGGAGCGAGCGAGCGATCTGGTGAGCGAGCGAGGGATCTGGTGATGTGAGCGAGTGATCTGGTGAGCGAGCGAGGGATCTGGTGAGTGAGCGAGCAATCTGGTGAGAGAGCGAGGGACCTGGTGACGTGAGCGAGCAATCTGGTGAGCGAGCGAAGGATCTGGTGAGTGAGCGAGGGATCTGGTGAGCGAGCGAGCGATCTGGTGAGTGAGCGAGCGATCTGGTGAGCGAGCGAGGGATCTGGTGAGCGAGCGAGGGATCTGGTGAGCGAGCGAGGGACCTGGTGAGCGAGCGAGCGATTTGGTGAGCGAGCGAGGCGATCTGGTGAGCGAGCGAGGGACCTGGTGAGCGAGCGAGGGACCTGGTGAGCGAGCGAGCGATTTGGTGAGCGAGCGAGCGATCTGGTGAGTGAGCGAGCGACCTGGTGAACGAGCGAGGGACCTGGTGAGCGAGCGAGGGATCTGGTGAGCGAGCGAGGGACCTGGTGAGCGAGTAAGCGATCCGGTGAAGTGAGCGAGCGATCTGGTGAGTGAGGGATCTGGTGAGTGAGTGAGGGATTTGGTGAGCGAGCGAGGGACCTGGTGAGCGAGCGAGCGATCTGGTGAGCGAGTGAGGGACCTGGTGAGCGAGCGAAGGACCTGGTGAGCGAGTGAGGCACCTGGTGAGCGAGCGAAGGACCTGGTGAGCGAGCGAGCGATCTGGTGAGCGAGTGAGGGACCTGGTGAGCGAGCGAAGGACCTGGTGAGCGAGCGAGCGATCTGGTGAGCGAGCGAAGGACCTGGTGAGCGAGTGAGGGACCTGGTGAGCGAGCGAAGGACCTGGTGAGCGAGCGAGCGATCTGGTGAGCGAGCGAAGGACCTGGTGAGCGAGCGAGCGATCTGGTGAGCGAGTGAGGGACCTGGTGAGCGAGCGAAGGACCTGGTGAGCGACGCGAGCGATCTGGTGAGTGAGTGAGGGACCTGGTGAGCGAGTGAGCACTCTGGTGAGCGAGCGAGCGATCTGGTGAGCGAGCGAGGGACCTGGTGAGCGAGTGAGGGACCTGGTGAGTGAGCGAAGGACCTGGTGAGCGAGTGAGGGACCTGGTGAGCAAGCGAGCGATCTGGTGAGCGAGTGAGGGACCTGGTGAGCGAGCGATCTGGTGAGCGAGCGAGTGAGGGACCTGGTGAGCGAGAGAGGGATCTGGTGAGCGAGGGAGCTGGTGAGCGAGCGAAGGACCTGGTGAGCGAGTGAGGGACCTGGTGAGCGAGGGACCTGGTGTGCGAGCGAGTGAGGGACCTGGTGAGCGAGAGAGGGATCTGGTGAGCGAGGGAGCTGGTGAGCGAGTGAGCGATCTGGTGAGCGAGTGAGGGACCTGGTGAGCGAGCGAGGGATCTGGTGAGCGAGTGAGGGACCTGGTGAACGAGCGAGGGACCTGGTGAGCGAGCGAGGGAGCTGGTGAGCGAGCGAGGGATCTGGTGAGCGAGTGAGGACCTAGTGAACGAGCGAGGGAGCTGGTGAGCGAGCGAGGGACTTGGTGAACGAGCGATCTGGTGAGCGAGCGATGCGAGCGACCTGGTGAGCGAGCGAGCGAGCTGGTGAGCGATCTGGTGAGCGAGCGAGGGATCTGGTGAGCGAGCGAGCGATCTGGTGAGCGAGCGAGCATGTCCCCCCCTCCCCCCACTCACCACGGTGAAGCTCATGACCTTGAGGATCCAGACGGTGAGCGCCAGGTTGAGCACCACGGTAGCCATGAGCAGCAACACGAGCAGGTAGAGGAAGCGTTTCCTCCACCCGTAGATCCCCACCACCACAGGGGAGCGGGGGGCGCCCCCCCCCGAGCGGGGGGACCCGGCCCCCCGTGCCGCGCGCACGTCCTCACGCGCCATCTGGGGGGGGGGGGGGGGGGGGGGGGGGGTCACGGGGGGGGTGACGTCATCGTCCCACGTGCCTCCTGAACTCTCCCAAGTCTCTGATTGGCGTCCATGTCCCCATCACCCATCCCGAGCCTCCCTCCCTCCCGTGTCTTGTGACGATGATGATGATGATGACACAGAGACCCATAGACTCACACAGAGACCCATAGATTCCTCACACAGAGACCCATAGATTCCTCACACAGAGACCCATAGACTTCTCACACAGAGACCCGTAGACTCCTCACACAGAGACCCATAGATTCCTCACACAGAGACCCATAGACTCCTCACACAGAGACCCGTAGACTCATCACACAGAGACCCATAGACTCATCACACAGAGACCCGTAGACTCATCACACAGAGACCCGTAGATTCCTCACACAGAGACCCGTAGACTCATCACACAGAGACCCATAGACTCATCACACAGAGACCCACAGACTCATCACACAGAGACCCATAGACTCACACAGAGACCCATAGACTCCTCACACAGAGACCCGTAGACTCCTCACACAGAGACCCATAGACTCACACAGAGACCCATAGACTCACACAGAGACACATAGACTCATCACACAGGAACCCATAGACTCATCACACAGAGACCCGTAGACTCATCACACAGAGACCCGTAGACTCCTCACACAGAGACCCGTAGACTCATCACACAGGAACCCATAGACTCCTCACACAGAGACCCGTAGACTCATTACACAGGAACCCATAGACTCCTCACACAGAGACCTATAGACTCATCACACAGAGACCCGTAGACTCATCACACAGAGACCCGTAGACTCATCACACAGGAACCCATAGACTCCTCACACAGAGACCCGTAGACTCATTACACAGGAACCCATAGACTCCTCACACAGAGACCTATAGACTCATCACACAGAGACCCGTAGACTCATCACACAGAGACCCGTAGACTCCTCACACAGAGACCCATAGACTCATCACACAGAGACCCATAGACTCCTCACACAGAGACCCATAGACTCCTCACAGAGAGACCTGTAGACTCCTCACACAGAGACCCATAGACTCACACAGAGACCCATAGACTCACACAGAGACACATAGACTCACAGAGATACCCATAGACTCACAAAGATACCCATAGACTCTTCAGACAGAGACCCATAGACTGATCACACAGAGACCCATAGACTCCTCACACAGAGACTCATAGACTAAAATAGAGACCCATAGACTCACAAAGAGACTCATAGACTCTTCAGACAGAGACACATAGACTCCTCACACAGAGACCCGTAGACTAACACAGAGACCCATAGACTAACACAGAGACACATAGACTCACACAGAGACCCATAGACTCACACAGAGACTCATAGACTCATACCGAGACCCATAGACTCACACAGAGACACATAGACTCACACAGAGACCCGTAGACTAACACAGAGACCCGTAGACTAACACAGAGACCCATAGACTCACACAGAGACCCATAGGCTCACACAGAGACCCATAGACTCACACAGAGACCCGTAGACTCACACAGAGACCCATAGACTCACACAGAGACCCATAGACTCACACAGAGACACATAGACTCACACAGAGACCCGTAGACTAACACAGAGACCCGTAGACTCACACAGAGACCCATAGACTCACACAGAGACCCATAGGCTCACACAGAGACCCATAGACTCACACAAAAACCCATAGACTCCTCACACAGAGACCCATAGATTCACACAGAGACCCACAGACTCACACAGAGACCCATAGACTCACACAGAGACCCGTAGTTTGTTGTCCTTCCCCCACACCTCCGATTAGCAGGGTTGGCTACTTACGGTGTGAAAGAAGTTCAACGTACACACAGTACAAACACAATGTGATATCCCCCGAATAGCCTTAACAGCCTTTGGATGCTCCACGTTCTTTGAAACTAAAACTAAAAACTGCGTTGTTGATTTCACCAGGTAAGGCCCAATGAGCTGCTAGATGGCTCCTTTGCAGAAGCGACCTGGCCATCACAAACGGTAGCTTCACGAAGTGGGATTATCATCATTATCACGTGGAAATGTATAGCAGGCGAGGTAGTTAACATCTCACCACGGGGAGAGAGAGAAACGCAGACTCCAAATATACAGCAGGTGTCAGGATCGTGATCGAACCCACGACCTCCTGTATACCAGGCGAGGTAGTTAACATCTCACCACGGAGAGAGAGGGAGACACGCAAACTCCAAATATACAGCAGCAGGCGTCGTCAGGGTCGTGATCGAACCCACGACCTCCTGTATACCAGGCGAGGTAGTCAACATCTCACCACAGAGAGAGACACGCAAACTCCAAATATACAGCAGCAGGCATCGAACCCACGACCTCCTGTAGACCAGGCGAGGTAGTTAACCAGCATCATCGGACGATTTGTGTACGTGACAAATCCCTTACTAATTGGCTGTGTCGGGTATTGGAGGGTTAACGACAAAACTAACCCCAAAAACTTTTTTACGATTAATAATATTTGTCGCCTACTGTGTGTTAAACCGACAACCAGCTTCATCAGGCAACGACCAGGATTAGCTGAGAAGTCCCCCTGTTCCGTTCCTTAAAACGAGGCGCAGTCGAAGTGATGACATCTGGCTGTTGCCTGATGAAGCTGGTTGTAATTACTGGCGAAACGTCACCGCAGTCAGATTGTAAATGTTGTTGGCTTGGTTCTCCAACACACAACCGGTGTGCTGTACTAGTATACTACACTATACACTACACTATACACTACACTATACACTACACACTACTATACACTACTATACACTACACTATACACTACACTACCATACACTACACTATACACTACACTATACACTACACTATACACTACACACTACTATACACTACACTATACACTACACTATACACTACACACTACTATACACTACTATACACTACACTATACACTACACTACTATACACTATACACTACACTATACACTACACTATACACTACTATATACACTACTATACACTACACTATACACTACACTGCTATAGACTACTATACACTACACTACTACACACTAGACTATACACTACACTACTATACACTAGTGCTGTGCTAGTCACGAATTGACCACGTGCTGTTCACGTGACACTAATCCTCCTTTAAGAGTGTGCTCCTAATCTCAGCTCGTTACCTGTATAAAAGAGACCTGGGAGCCAGAAATCTTTCTTGTTTAGAGGGGGTCAAATACTTATTTCCCTCATTAAAATGCAAATAAATTTATAACATTTTCGACATGCGTTTTTCCGGATTTTTTTGTTATTATTCTGTCTCTCACTGTTCAAATAAACCTACCATTAAAATTATAGACTGATCATTTATTTGTCAGTGGGCCAACGTACAAAATCAGCAGGGGATCAAATACTTTTTTCCATCACTGTACACTACACTACTTTACACTACTATACACTACTATACACTATGCACTACTCTACTACACACTACACTATACACTACACTATAGACTACACTGCTATACACTACACTATACACTACACTATAGACTACACTGCTATACACTATACTATACACTACACTGCTATACACTACACTATACACTACACTATACACTACACTATAGACTACACTACTATACACTACACTACTATACACGACACTATACACTACACTATACACTGCACTACTATACACTGCACTACTATACACTACACTACTATACACTATACATTACACTATACACTACACTATACACTACACTACTATACACTACACTATACACTACACTACTATACACTACACTATACACTATACTATACACTACACTATACACTATACTACTATACATTACACTATACACTACACTATACACTACACTTCTATACACTACACTACTATACACTACTATACACTACACTATACGCTACACTATACACTACACTATACACGACACTGTGCACTACACTATACACTACACTACTATACACTACACTAAACACTACTATACACTACACTATACACTACACTACTATACACTACACTATACACTACACTACTATACACTACACTATACACTACACTACTATACACTACACTATACACTACACTACTATACACTACACTACTATGCACTACACTATACACTACACTACTATACACTAGTGCTGTTGGCCACGTGCTGTTCACGTGACACTAATCCTCCCTCATCGGCTGTGCCGGGTGGTGGCGGGTTTAACGACACAACATTGCTCTATTTACGCGATCTGGCCCAAAAAATGCACCTGTATTGTGGACACCGGTCGTGACAGCCTACCACGTGATCAACAGACGATGACGTTGACGACGATGCTGGTGGCGATGGCGACGATCGCCATGACCCATGCTGGTTGCGACGAAAACTTTTTCCGCCCAGCCGCGCTATCGTCGGTCGTGGGGTTTTCCGTTTTCGTTTGTTGCTGCTGCAAAATCTCCCCGCACCTCACCGCCGTGCGTCTTTCTTTTTTATGCCACGGGATATTCCGTCGATCTCCACAGGAGGGTCGGAAACGAGCGGGGGAAACGCGCGTTCGATAAATCTCCTCCTCCCCCCCCTCCCCCCCTAAAACCCCCAATTATTTTGTTGTTACATTTTCCGCGTAAGGGAATGATTGTAATGACGAGGATGATAATACCTGATCGTTGTTCCACGTTGTGAAACTAAACACTCAAAAGTCGGAGGGGAGCGGTGGTTCGCCATAGATTTGCTCTCAAACAGATTCAGGATATAACGGTATTTTTTTTGTTGTTACTAGATAAATCCGAGAAGCTGTGAAGCTCTTTCTCGCTGATGGCCAGGCGGTAGCGATGCCGACTCGGAACCCCGCGTCGCGAGCTCACGGCGTCCACTAGTCGCTGTCTCTGGCTGTCTCTGTCTGTGTCTCTGTCTGTGTCTCTCTCTACGAGAGAGACACAGACGG